GTGTAAAATACGATATTTTGTTAAATAAATTAGAAGGCATAGGAATAAAAGGACTATCACTTAAATTAAGAGAAAATCATTAGAATGCAAGCAACTGTTATCGAGATATATAATGAATCTACAAAAATGGTTCTTACTTAAATGGTTCTACAAAAATCTGAATTTGAAAATGTAATACTGGGTGTACCCCAAGGCAACATATTGAGCCTTCCTTTATTTTTATTATATATTAATGATCTCCCAAACATATTTACACACCTATGCGTAATGTATGCCGATGATGCAACTATATTTATTTCTAATTATGACTTAAATGATTCTGATTATGAAAATGAGCCAGTGTCATGTGCCAGCTCCTTCCACTTGACCGCATCCAGCGCAGAGCAGCTCAAACCGTTGACGACTGAGTCCTTTCCGATCAACTCGAATCACCGGCGCTGTGAAGAGATGTTGCATCTCTGCATTTTCTTCCGCATCTACCACGGGGAGTGCTCTGACGAATTGTTCGGATTAATCCCAGCTGCCAACTTTCATGAACGCACATCGCGGCAAAACTCGCGATCCACACCATCTGGATGCTTGACCGTACGTGGTAATGGTCCACCACTGTACGTTTCACTAGGAGTTTTCTTCTGCATACGACCTCTCTGTGGAATAGTTTACTACTGGTGGTTTTTCCGGACGTATACGACTTAGGGACCTTCAAGAAAAGAGCTTATTCCTTTCTAAAAGTCCGGCAACGCACCTCCCCTGGTGTTGCAGTTGTTCATGAGCGGCGGTAGCCACTTACCATCACGTGAGCCGTATGCTTGTTTGCCCCCTCTCCTACAAAAAAAAACACAAATACTTTTTACAGGCATGCATTACACATCACAAAATAGAGAAAGGACTCTCCCCGTTCGACTGCAGATGCTATGTTTCAGATATAGGTATGTACCAAATTAGTTTTAATAAGTCTAGAGTAAATATTTGGTTGTACTACCTTTTCGAAATAAAAAACTTATATATTTATTATTATTATTAGTCATTTATTAATAATAACAAAAATAGAAGAAAAGGGGTTTTGCCTATCTTGTGTCGACTTACTAGGTTTTATTGTTAAGTAGGTACACAGGTGGTGTGAGCTTGTGTGTTACTTACTATTCTATTTTGTAAGCCCATACTGCTATATTATATGACGTACCTACATTTACGTTGATTGCCGTCGTAAAATTAACTTTGACAATAACGTCGGGGTATATGCGTCAACACATAACTGAGGTGTTTACATCGATTTTATGGATGATCATTAGTGTCTAGCGGCCAATGGCAGTGACGAACGTCCAAAGCGACCGACGCGTCGACTCTATCTCGTAAAATCACACCAAGTTCATGGAGTGTGTATGCCCGCCACCGCGGCGCCCACCGACTTTCCACCGCCTTATTAAATAACGCAAGCACATTTTTCACTTCATTGCGTCAATGGTCAGACAGACCACGCGATATTTGCGTTCGGGCGATATTAATAGCTTCGCCTGGCGAAAACTTTAACACTCATCGGTTTTATTTTAGAAAAGACGTGAGAGAAGGTAAATAAAATACTACGAAATTACTCCGGGTTGATGCGCGATGTGTTTTGTTTGCGCAGCTAAGTGCAGGATTTGGACGAGCGCGGTCTATTTCTGAACGCACCGAAACGGTTAAACGAATATTTATATTCGAATTCGTCACTGCTATCAAGTCTATGTTTTGTTAAAGCTAAGAAAAGAGCGAATGGTGCAAATGAATTATTTACATTAGATTATTTTCGGTTTGTACGGAATTCATTTATTTTCCAACCGGCGTCATTCAGTTTCAGTTTAAACGAGCTATTTCTCGTAATTATATTATACTTAGATTGACGCATGTGTAATGTTGATGTTTTTATTAATAAATTATTTTGATTTATAAAAAATTTGTTCATTTCCAAGCTAAGTCAGCCAACATTCATTTTAATTTAAATAATCTCATTTTGCAACTTCCTCTAGGAGTAATAGTGTTCTCTGAATGCCACGCTCTTAATGAGGCATCATTACAAAATTTATATAATTTTTAGCGTAATAACTTTTAATGCGAAAACCTTGCAATTAAAATTTTATTTTGTTGAAGCATTTATCCTATGTAAAATTATCTTAGTTTTACTTATTTACGAGTATGTCTGCTAAGATGTTCATAAATGTTTGCATTTTTTTTATTACTACATATCCATATTGGCATTCAAATTACAATAGTTAAGAATTCAGATCAAAATTATCATTATAGTCACAGCATATACATAGTCTTTCCCATAGATCATAGAAAGCGTCAAAGCATGCTAATCCTGAATCAACTGTATCCATCGACTTATCGGCCTATTTTATGTACACATTTTTAATTATTTTTTCGCTTAGTATATATCAGTGCTGACAATATTTGATAAACATTATACGCGGCGGTATAATTTTATATGATTTAATTTATTTTACGTACTATAATGTAGATTTTAGACAATATAGAAACTTACTTAAAAATAATAATTAAAATTATAATATTTACAATTAATACTAATTATACACAATATAAAAAAAGAAATCATAGTATAGAGAAACTAAAACAAAAAATTTAAATAGTCAAAAAGTCCTGCTCCCCATGCCAAGAACGCAGGCTGCGTTTCCTCGCTGAATAGCTATACTTAGCCTTTGAACGAGGAAAGAACCAGCCCCCTTATCACCAGCAGCGACGACCAGTCTTGGATACAGTTCCTTTAAGAAATTCACTACACGTGGACCCCACGGACCGATAGTGTCCACAGCAAATGGCACAAATATGTAGTAATTTTTCAAAGACTCATATTTGCTCTATTCACTAAATAAAAATGAAATATGCTTACAAATTTCTGTACGTATGGACTATCGTAATTGACTAATATAAAAAAAAACATCATATCACATATTTTAAGAGAACATCACAAAGAGAAAAATTTGCTAAACTATTATTCGATACTAGGTTTCACTTTCACACACGTTTGTAATAGTTAGACGTCATTTCTGAGGAAGACTATTATTCCTTTGACCTTTCAGCGAGGTTGAACTTTGCGCGATATCCACCCCGACATTGTGACGTCAAAACGAAGCTTATTTACACCTAACCAGTACAGTGGTATTTCTATACAGCCTTATATTGAAACCATACATATTACAAACGAATTTTGTCTTAAAATTAAGATTTTCCACGATATCAAATTTAAAAGAAAATTTTAAGGCCTCATACTGCTTTATTAAAATAAAAATAATAATTATACCTTTAAAGTTATATTTTCATATAGGTGCGTTCCTAAGGATCGTGGACTGGTGGTGTAAGGGTATAACATAATTCCATGTAGTCCCGTGGATATCATAAGAGGCGAGAGAGGGATAAATTCTGGAGTTGGATAGCGTACTACTCATCACAACTAGAAAATAAAAAAAACTGCAGTTGCCAAATCGCCTGCCAGCCGTGGCAACTATAGCAAATATTCCCCAATTATAAGGCAATCTATGGGAAGGCCTATGACTAAATGAGTGAGATATGAATACTTTTCTAAGTTTTCGTTATTGTAATATTAAAGTTATTAATAAATTTATTTGCTTATATCCGCCCAATTAAATAAAGTGATATATTTTACCTAGTTTAAATAGCATCTACCGCCCGCCCTCAATTGCGTGCACTATCGCCGTCACCACTAATCCCAGGACTACTAATCCCAATATCAATACACTAGAAAAGACACACAAACTTCTAATATAAGCTACACAACCGCCTCCCCTTAATTGCGTGCACTATGCCCGTCACCACTAAACCCAGCACCACTACTCCCAACATCAATACACTAGAAAATACACAAACATCGATAATACTATCGAAGGTATTAAAATATTTAATATCGAATGGTGATATAAGCTAATTAATATTTAACAACTTTAGTATAATGGATTTGCGCAAAGTAACGCCTGAATCTATTAATTATTTTCGTTATTGATCATTTTTATAGCATTGCGTGACAAACGAGCACACAGTCCACCTGATGGTAAGTGGATGCTTTGGCCCATAGACATCCACATTTATTCTCAATTAAGGATCAAAATTAAAATCCGTCGTCAACCATGAGGACTAAGATGGAATGCCTCGATTCCAGTAAAACGGGCTGCCGCTTCTCGACACTCACCATACGAAACACAGCAGAATTACGCTGTTATTTTACGCTGGTATTCTGTGAGAGCGTGGTCCTGCCCCAGTCGAGCCGACCTATTCGTGCTACAACTATATTATAGCTGCAGCCTGGCTCTACCACGTACACAATTGTTATATTATGATATTGGTAGAAACCATTTAATTTTTTTTTATAATATTTTAGCTTCTTGTGCCTTCTTTAAATGTAAAAGTCCACAGCTGGACATGGACCTGTCCCGTTGTAGGAAGGATTTATCTTAATCGTCATATTTGCCAGGCGGATTGAGACGATCTAGTGCCAGACATGCCGACACCTTTGAATCTGTTGCCTGTCGCCAGTCTGGTTTTTTCACATCTATCGAAAGCCATGAGGTCTTTCTAGAATTTTTAATGATCGCCGCTTTAGACACGTTAGTGTCATTACCCAATTGATTATCTTACCCCGCCAACACACGGCAAAGGCTAAATTTAAAAAAAATTGATTGATATATTTTTAATTGTATTTTTTAAACGTATCAAGCTATATTAAAACTTTAAAGCCTTTTTTTTTTCAAACATATTTATTTCTTACAAACATTATAAATATATAACAAACAAACAATAATTTTCATTCCGTCCACAATTTAAATATACATACCTAGGTACGTGGAGAAATACATTGTTGTTTATCCATCAATAATTAGTTACTTTAAATTCATAAGCACGTAGAAGCTTGCTTTCTTATTTAACTCAATTATAAGCAAGAAATTTAACAAATATGATTTTTAATAAAAAAATTATGTTTTCTTTTTCAGACTGTGAATCCTTAATTCGCAAGATGCTCGTTTTAGAACCTATGAAGCGTTATACAGTGGAGCAGATAAAAAAGCACCGGTGGATGGCAGCGGAGCCCTATACTGCTCCTACGGTAACCACCGCAGACCCAGCTCGAAGTCCAGCGCACACCACCATGCATAACGAGCCTAACGAACAAGTACTGCGACTAATGCAGAGTTTGGGAATCGACCCTATTAAGACTAAAGAGGTAATTAACATTTAAATTTGTTTATTGCTAAAACGTTTCCACAGCTTTGATGAGATATAAAGTCATTCGACTTTTTTATTGTTCAATTACTTTTAACAATATTTTAGTTTTTTTTTTTAAAAAGAGCTTTTGGAGCATATTAGTTTAAATGTTACGGATAAAAGTCAAATTCGCTTGGTTAATCCTCACTGTATACGATTTATTCATGGTATGTACAGGTAATGAAATTGGTTTTGGTTTGCCTGGGTTTACTATGTTACGAGTAATGCCCCAAAAACTAATAAACCTAGATTTACAATGCTTTTCGGGTTAAGTACATAATTTTATAAATAAGATAAATCTCCGCGCCTTGGGGTTGCCTTAACCTAATATTTAGATTGTTAACAATCCCTTATTTAGATTTTTAACAATCCCTGGGAATTAACATTTTTTTTTTCATACATTCAGTTTTTTAATATTTTCATATTTAATTGTATAAAATAATACAACGGTTTCTTGTCGGTTTTATCCAAGACAGAGTTTTTTTTGCGAACAAAAAATAGCTCAAATGACTTTCATTAAGTATTTTTATAAAATTCATATTACATTAAAAATAACTTAAGTTAATTTTGAAAAATGCACTGAAGTTTTTGCGCTTTTTTGTAAAATGCACTGCACTTTCGCCAGTTATTTATTAAACTTTGATTACTAATGCTAAGCTTTAATGATGAAATAAAATAAAATGACACACAAACTTTTATTTTAATAAGAATTTAGAAAAAGAACACACTATTTGTCAATTTACAGTGGTCAAACATCGCTTGGATGGCTTGTAGATAGACAAATTATTTTTAACCCTATGACCTATCACGAAAGCGCGTTAGGGTCGGTTTGTTTTGTATGTATATTTTACACGTAAGTGTTTTCGTTTTTAATTTTGCACTAGTGTAGTGTAATATTAATAGTTTGAATGGTTCGGTAGTGCGGTACCATACGTTTGGTTGTGGAACTGCGGGCCGTAGGTTCGATTACCGCACGAACGAAGAATTTCTATAGCCTACAAACAGTTCCCTCCAGTCTGACTGCTTACCTATTTGCAATTTATGGTTGTATAATTTCTTCACGATACAGGAGAATTTTTTAGTGTAGGTTTGGGAACGCTTTTCGAAACTAAATATAAATAAATACATATAACTCTATGGTTAAAACTATCGACAACCGCCCCATAATGTTAAACCTTATAATATGCATTCTATTAACCCCAATTTTCACAAACCAAAATTTCGTTAACGCATCAGTCCAGATATAATATACGTCGTAGAGCCATGCTGCTATTACGGTTATACCGGGAAGGATCACGCTCTCACAGAGTACCAGCGTAAAATAGTAGCTTAATGCTGCTGCTGTGCTACGTATGATGAGTGCAGAGTACCGAAAACCTAAATTACTGGAAACGTGGCATTCCATCTTATAATCTTCAGGGGTGGCAACACGTCTGCATTTTGATCCTTAAAAGAAGATAGCTGCGCCACAGCACGAGATTGACTGTGTATTAGTTTGTCACTCTTAATCTATAAAAAGTCCTGATTGTAATCCATTGTTAATTATCGACATTGCAAATTTTTCTGCAGCAGTATAATAAATTCCTTCTAGTGATAAAAATGCTAAACTTGACATAAGATTCAAATTTGCTTGCAAAAGCTTTAAATATGGTGGAGGTCTGACCTTTTTGTGCAAGTTACATTAGAACACTGAAAGATTATTACCAAATACCGAAGTTGTATTTTATATAATAGTATACAATCATTATTTCTGCTACACGCACACTCGAATCACAAAGTGCGCACTAAGCCAACACTAACCGGACAGTGAATGTGGCTATAAATAGTCTGCTTGTTGGGCTTTGTTGTACACACGGGTTGGTTGCTTCAGTTGGGAATTTTTTATCGCAGAGTCTTCGCTCAAACAGTTACGATCATCACGCCGCGATCTACCTGCTGCTGTTGGAGCGGCTGCGGGCGCGCGCGGCTGGCGGCGTTAGTGGTGGGGCGGGAGGGACTGGGGGTGCGAGTGGGCCGGGGGGTGCGGACGCACGCAGCCCGTCGCGCCGACCTTCCTCCGTCGCCGACCAGGCCCTAGCGAGGGAGCTGCAAGATGCACGCCGGGAACATCATAATAGGTAATCCGTGATAGACAAGATGACTGTTCCATTTGAGACGGACGTATACTGCGACAGATGTATCTCTAGATTAGCTTAGATCTTTCATGTATTTTATGTTTTTTCTATTACTATCAAAAGTCAAACGCTGAACATGGCTTCCTCATAGACTGCATACAGGCGCAAAAGGCGGATTGGCGACCGTACCGTACCGTCGCGTATCGTATTTTATTATTCTGAGTTTAACTGTTTCATTTCTTATAGTCGCCTCTTACAACACTCACGGGACGAAACGGAAGAAATAATGGATAATGGATTCCTTTACGCCGCAACCGCACGTTGTGTTTCATATACTTTAGGGTCATCCATAAATTACGTCACACACATTTTATGGCTTTTGAACCCCCCCCCCCGTCCTTTTCATAGGTGGTCACACTTGTGAAATCCCCTACCCCCTGCTGTGACGTCACATATTTTTCAGTTTTATATATTAGAAGTAATTAAATTTAAATAACATTTTGTTCACATTTTTTTATTTTAGTTAAAAATTATCTAATAAAATCAATTTAAAGTCAAATATTTTAGATAATGAACAAAACAAAAGACCAATTAAAGAACGATAAACCATTATTCTGCCGACGGACTTTTTTACTTTTTGACCACGGAGTTTCGCGTTTTAGTAGTTTAAATTTAAGCATGTGAAGTCAAACAGCTTCTAACTAAAAATTTATTTCTTTTCAGATTATTACACGCTGGAGATGCTCAAACAAGAGAGTATAATAGAGCAACTCCCAGTATATCAGCTGCGCCGGCTGACGCGTCGTCTGCCGAAACACAGCGACTTCTTTCCCTTGCCGGTGTTAACATGACCGAGCAACGACTGCTCCAGCGAAATTCCGACCCATCGGAGACGCATAGGAGCTTTCTAGTAGGAAATCTTGATGTCCCGTCCAATAGAACTCACGAAGTGGAATCCACAAGACTACTCTCGATGCGAAACATCGACGTATCCCAATCAAATCAAAGATTAGGCGCAAAACTAAACGATAACGCCGTCCCCACTCACAGACTTCTCACAACAACTTATGTACAACAGCAGAACATACTTAAGGAATCTAGCGAAGACTGTCGACGGATGTTACAACAGTCGACTACAGTTGGCCTTGAGACTAATAAACATACTAATGATGGTACTAGGCTTTTAACCTCCTCGAGTTTTGATTCAAAATGTGCTATTGATGGCGGCAGAGTAGCGACGACGGATCAGAGTGTCATCGCTAACTTCTTACAAAATTCTGCTTCTGCTACTAATTTCAATTCTGAAACTGATAAGCTGCCAAGCTCAACTACATTTACTATGTGCTCTGAAGCGGCAAAACTTATGAATACATTACAACAATCGCCTTTACCGTTGAAAGGAACTGTCAACCTAAGTACAAGTCCCATACCAACACAATTTACTGATACGAAACTGACTAGTGTATTAGAACAGTCTAAACCCTTAGAATCAACGAGGCTAGTATCTCAAGCACAACAGCAGGATTTAAATCGCTTGCAGACTTGTACGCCGCCTTTTAAAGATTATGTGAATCATTTACCTTCGTATTCTTATGTACAAAGTGGCATTTTGCCACCAATATCCAATGCGGGTGATACAAATTTATCCATAACTGCCACTCCGGGGGAACTATATCAGAATACTTTGTATAGGCCAGATAGCAAATTTTCCTTAAATAAATATACAACTAGTCAAACTTACACTCAAGTTCACCCTAGCAACCCAAACGAAATGACAAAATTTCAACAACAGTACTCATCTTCGACCGATGAAGGCTGCGAAACAGATATGGAAGACGTTCCTGCGGTACCAAGCGGAATGCAAAATCGTCTAAGCTCCTATGCGAGTTCTAGCTCGAGTAGCGGCGTCGTTACCTTTTTTAACAATAAAAGCTTAAGCCAAAACCTGAGCTGTGATTCCTCTCAAAGCAATTTCTCTACTTTCGAAAGCCTTGACTACCAACTCTCCGATTGTTCCAGTGAATTAGCGAGCAGTTTACCGAGCTGCACATCCAACGAAGATAAATTAGCTTATGAGAATAACTCACTAGTAAATACTAGTCCAATGCATCCGTGTGTTTACATATCTTCGTATAACAGTAAAACTTCTGGGACGGGATTCATTAATCGACACAACCCTATTAATTATCAATCTGCCAATAAAAACTGTCAAAGATCAATCACAAGAAGTCCAGTTGATTTTAGAGAAGGGCGTCGAGCCAGTGACGGTCTCGTCGCCCAACAAGCGGCTCAATCTAACGATACACAGAAAAATAGCTTGGCATTTAATAGTCAAAAGCTAAACGAAAATTGCAAAGCAAAAGGCGTACTAGAACTGCATTTGGTACAAAAGGAGGCGCAAAAGCTTAAAACACAATACCAATCGACAATACCAGCAGAAGAAATGACTCAGAGACAGTTACAGCATAATCAGTTTGCTGCAAGTTTTTCTCCGCACTATTTAGATACCAAAAACCCAACCCCCAAACGAATTAGCCTACCTGAAAGTTTTAATTATTCGAGTACATCGCCACCAATGCCAGCTAGTCCGAAAATGATAGCCCAGCTTCAAGATCCACCGGAATTGTCTCATGGTACTTCTGTATCTCAAGGCAGCAAACCTCCCCTACAGCAACAATTAATGCAGCATAGATTATATCAACAAAAGCGCCAATTACTTCAAAAACAAATGACGCCATCCAATATATCAGCGCATGAAATGGGCGCAATCCATACGCTTCAGGTCGGTTTAAGCAGGCGTCAGATGCTTCGACAGCAAAGTTATAAAATCGCCCAGCAGCAGCAAATATTACCTCCATTACCGTTAACTGAAACTGAAAATCGTGACTTACTGGCTTTTCAAGCGATCGTAGAAGATCCAAATAGGAGTATAAAAAAAACTGAAGAGATTCAAGAGGATATGTCCAAATTCGCTTATCAAGGTTCAATGGAGATTAGCATATTGAATAAAGATAGATTAGGAAATGAAAATTGGTCCAACTTGCCGTCCAGTTTGCAAAGTGCTTGTCAGATATCAGAACTAGCGGGACGGCGGGAAAGTAGAGAGATTCGAGAAGGTGAAAGGGAAGGAGGTAGTCATCCTTCGATGGATACATCTATTTGGCCAGGACAATGGAATGCAGGGCTTTTTCAGCCACAGGCTTGTTTTCAGGTATTCCAACAGATCAACTAAGTAGATCTCCAAAATATGTAGAGCAGTAGATCTTGGTAGTTATTTTATTTGCACTCCGCGTAACAACCGATATTTAAAAAATCGGTCGGTACGCCAGCTAGATATAACTTGGTCTCATTGTAGTTTGTTTTTATTAAACAACATAATATTGTTGAGCATATTACTGTATGATGTATGAAATTATATTATTTCCAGTATGGAATCTGCATTACAGTGCATGACAATAACTAGTGCTTTAGAGTTGCCGTTGTATTTCGCATATTAAGAAAATATATTATCAGTGACAGATTGTTAACACTCGCACAGCTGTTGTTCATAAAAATTTATGTTATTAGTAATCATTGATTGTTACAGACTTATAGATTGGCTGTATTCAGTCTATTATTCGATACAAATCTAAAAAAAAATTATTTGATACGCCATTCATTCCTTTTTTAATTCTAATAAATGCAATGGAGTTTATCGCGTAATTTAATATTTAAAGGGAATTAACTGTTCTTGCCGAATTTCGAGTTATTGAACTATTTAATTATTAGAGAATACTTTTTAAACTGTATTACAAAACTTACGAAAATGTTCCTACGTATTCATTTATAATTCACTCCAATGGTACACTGTTTTCAACTACTTAGATGTAAGTATCTACATATTTATGAATTACATTATAAGTAAATTATAATAACGTACCTACTTGTTCACTTTTTAAAAGTCTGTATAGTTTTTGTTATTATTTGCTAATAACTATAACGTTATATTGTAAGATTTGATAGCTTTACTTAGAAACAAGTTTTATTTTAAAATATAAGTAAATGTATAATTTTAATAGTTCTTTGTTTTATTTTTCACACCTTTTAATTTGACAATTAGCTTTTTCGTAGCTGACACGTTTGCATGCACGTTTACCTTTATAAATTATCCATTCATTCATTACAGCCTATAAAGGTTCATTGCTGAACATAGGTCGTCATCATAGATTGCTTCATGGGTTTGCCATAGTTGCCACTCTTGACCAGCGTAATTATGTTCGCGATGATATCTACACCCTTGTTATTAAGAATAAATACGTAATGTAACTGGAACAGCTTTATTAAGTGTTAAATGTTTTTAAGTATATTGTGGTAAATATTTAGCTTACATATTAAATGCGTACAACCCTAAGTATTTCTTAGAATCTTACTTAAAGCCTAAGTACCTAAAGTACTAGATAAGAATAGCTTGACCTATCTCCAAACACTAACTGCGAAATTTTGGAAACAAAGCCTGAATAAAGAAAGTACCCAAGTATTTTTTTAACTACAATCCGGTGACAAACGAGCGCACAGTCCACCTGATGTTAAGTGGTTTTTATGGCCCATAGTTATCTACATCTTATCCTCGATTACGAATCACAATGCTGATGCGTTGTCACCCGTGAGGACTAAGACGGAATACCTCGTTTCCAGTAAAAAGGGTATCCGGTTCTCTATACTCACCATACGAAACACAGCAGTATTAAGCTACTATTTTACGCTGGTACTCCGTGAGAGCGTGATCCTTCCTCGGTCGAGCAGACCCATTCGTGCTACAACTATAATACTAATATAACTGCAGCATGGCTCTACCACGTACACAACCATGTGCCAAAGTAACACAGAAAGCATTTTAACCAACTATTAGTAAACTTATGTAGAACTTAAAGGCCGGTGTAAACTCTTATATAAGTACACCGAGCATCTTGATGCTTTATATAGGCATTTCGAAACCATATTGATGGTATATGCTGTATAACGGTTGGATAATGACATATCATAAAGCTTTTGTAAAGTTAGTTTTAGTGCAGCAAACCACAACACAGCTGTACAGGTATCAGTGTATTTAGACAATGTATATCTGTTTTTAGTGTATTTAGATCATTTTATTTTTAAGTAGTAAACAAATTTTTAATACTGGTTAATAGCATAAACGTGAACCATTATAATGCCACGTGATTCCACTATACAGCTTTCAGCAGTTTTAGTGCCTTAGGGTCTAAAATAGCATTTTTAAGTAGTAAGATAATGCCTAATGCTTAATAGCATAAACTTGTACCATTATCATGCACCGTAAATCCGTTAAACGGCTTTAAGCTGTTTTTAGGACCCTTTTGTTGTGTTAATAGCACTTTTAAGTTGTAAGTATAAGCCTAGTACTGATGAACAGCATAAACATAAACACTCACGCCTGTCACCCAGAGGGGTAGGCAGAGACTACAGACTTCCATTTGACACGATCCTGAAACACCTTTCTCGCCTGCTTTACATCCATATACCTACGTATACATGCTCGTCGGTTAAGGGTACTCCTAATTTGGCCCTTTTTTAATAAATCGCCAATTTGGTCGATAAATTTTCGCCTAGGACGTCCCTTTCCGACTCAGCCAATCACTTCTGCAACATAAATTTTCTTTGTCACTCTTTCCTTATTCATTCTTTCCACATGACCAAACCACCGAAGCATTCCTTTCTTAATCCTGGTCACAAAATCATCTTGCAAACTACACTAATTTCTCACCCTTTCATTCAGATTCAGCATAAATGTGAATTAATGTAATGCTTGCATTTTTAAAGATCAACTGAGTTCTGTTGTACAGCTCACAGCTCTTTAATCAAATAGACGTGAGTTATTGGTAATGCGTGAAGCTGTAAATAGATTTATTTTACCGTATTCGTCAAACTATTTATCGGCCATATTGTGGTCAAAAGCAACATATGCACATGTTTTGTTAATCATATAATTTTTTAGCGTAGCGTTCAAGTAATGGCACTTTTCGGTCTACTAATATACGATGAACCCATATAGAACTACTTTATACACAACGGCCCTGCAGAGGTTCATGAAAAGTCTTGTCTAGCTTCTGGCTTAGTTACTGTTCACGTGTGAATATTAATACTGCTGGCGGTATTAATAAGGCTTTGTTTAGGTACTCACCGGGCTGCTAAGGACCGACACCATTTTGTAAATATTTTATAACCAAAAACAAATTATCATTCGGACTTATTTATAAAAGAAATAAGCCTATATAATAATGATATAACTTATTTTAATACTGCACAACCAATACTATTATGTTAATTACGCAAAATTCGTTCTATACTAAAGCCGGCACATGATGGTCGAGCGAAGGCAAATTCCAACTTATAGACACCAAATTTGTCAAGCCTCACCATTACTCGTCGTCGCTCGCCGTGTGCATGCGAGCGCCAACGTGTATATAGTATGTGATAGATAGATAGATAAAAACGTTTATTTGTATCTCCAATCACACACGTAGTTAAACTAGATGTATGTGCCAAATCAATTGAGAAAAACGGGCAATGACCTCAGATTTGAGCCGAGTGTCAAAAGGCGTAACTTACAAAATCTCAATTTAGATGTGATTAACAATATTTAAATATTGATATTATTCACACTTCTAGGTCGGCACATATGTTTTGTTTTTTGTTTCTTAAATAATATTGTCTGGTTCCTATAAACATCGTAAAATCTTACGGTACATCGCGAAAAATGTGTTATATTTTATATTTCAATTTATGTAAAATATAACATATTATATATATATATATATATATATATATATATATATATACACTTGGCAAATCATGTCCACATGTTAGTCGGCCATGTCAGTATGTTCACTCTTTCAAACTTGGCCAACATGTACCCTGTAGCACTCGCCTTGAATAAATTTGCCTACTCTCGCGTTGGCTGGCGCGCTGGCTTGGCCAACATGTATTGCTGGGTTTAGTCGGCCATGTCAATAGGTTCACTCTGTAGCCGCAGAAGGAAAAGGGGAGATCTCCCGCCGGGCAAGGTGTTCTGCCCGGGGAGAGGCCAACGCTCCGTGTGATAGTTCGGAGCTGTTCTATATATACTGTTTATGATTCGGAATTTTCACAGCAGGATTTAGGCTTCGGTGTGTTTCACGTGTAGCGCGACGATTTTCAAACTTGACCAACAAGTTTACTGTAGCACTCGCCTTTTATCAATTTGCCTGCGCTGGCGTTGGGTGAGGCTTGGCCAACATGTTGTATTGCCGGCTTTACAATACACAATTGTTTTGGTTACTTCACACATATCTTTATATAAAATTTTATATTAAAATCACAAAATATCGAATGCGCGTGACATTTTTAATGAATCTTTTATAAATATTTACAGTAAACTACATTGCGCAGTAGTATTTAAAGGCATGAAATTACAAAAGAGTCAAACGCTTTATAAATTTTGTCTTGATGCAAACAAATATGGTCGTGTCAATCATTCAGTTTTGACCGCCTTCCTTCGTCCATATATCATATTGCAAGACACATAAATTACAACATTTTTTTTCGATTGTATCATAACATTTAGTACGCGTGATTGAGATGTTTTTGCAATAAAGTAGTTTATTTAAGTTCTAACTGTGAACTGTTAAAGAGCTCCAATAATTCGTTTAATACATTCTCATGCTAGTCTAATGCTTTTGTAATGCAAACAACATATTCATATTATCAATAATTTTGTTATTATAATAATAATAATTTTGTGCTTCTACAATGCGATTGGCAACTTTATTGACCATAATAATGCTTCTTTAATGACATTGATACTACTTTTACCACCATAAAACTAATATAACGCGCCTGTAATGCAATTAAACAACTATTGTGAATCTATTTAAGATCTAAAACCATATAATTTGTTCCCAAATAAGCATTACAGTAGCCATATAAACGTTTGTAATGCTACTATAGAACTAACTCAAAATGAGATAACGATACAGAAATGCCGTAAGTCGGCCGTTATACTGTTTTTATGTGTAACTTGGGTTGTATATACTGAAATGTATTGTGGAATTTTATAGCAAATTTAATTTTTTGCGGTTAATAATCGCGACCGTGATCGTAATCGTGACCGTAATCGCGATCCGTGACCATGGGTGCAACTTATCCCTCAGAATGTCAAGAATGTCCAAAAAAAAAACAAAGAAGGCAATAAATTATTTAACTAATTGAGTAGTAGTATTGAGAAGTAATTTTTTTACGTATCATTAAAAAATCAGGATGGGATTGCAACACAACTAGATCTACAATAATTGTGCTGTTAATGTTTTTTCCATCTAAAAGTTGAACCCCCTACAGCATATGTATGTAGGAGTCGTAAAAGCTGTGACAAAGGCCAAAAAAACAATCTCATAAACTTCACAAGTGGCAGCAAAAATAAACCATCTCTTATATTATGTCAGATTGAAAATACTACACACCACAAAAGGCAGTACCTATCTGCTTTTACTTATTTTTTAAAGAATAAGGGTAACAAACGAGCACTCAGTCCACTGATGGTAAGTGAACGCTGTGGCCCATAGATCTACCCTCTATTAAAAATCAAAATGACGAGGACTAACATGGAATGCCTCGTTTCATATAAAAAGTCTCCGGTTCTGTACACTCACCATACGAAACACAGCAGCATCAAGCTGCTATTTCACACCAGTTTTATAAGTTAGTAATTAACCACAATCCCAGTTGGTGATGAGCGGTGATGTAAACTATTAATTACCTCAAATGTCAATCTATATCTATGTGTGTGGAATAGGTCTATTTCATCATTAGCCCATTTTACCATTATACGTGGTAGAGCCATGCTGCAACTATATTAGTAGTATGGACAGTACGAATGGTTCGGCTCGACCGGGGCAGGACTACGCTCTCACAGAATACCAGCGTGAAATAGTAGCTTAACGCTGCTGTGTTTCGTATGGTGAGTGTAGAGAATCGGAGACCCCTTTTTACTGGAAACGCATCTGCAGTTTGATTCGTAATCGTGGATAGATGTAGATGTCTATGAGCCACAGCAACCACTTACCATCACGTGGACTTTTGCTTATTTGTCACCCTATCTTATAAAAAAAGCAGTGAATATTTTATAGTTTCTTAACAGCCTTTTGTTATTATATATTATTTTGTGGTTCTGGTTGCAATTTTATTGCAGATTTATCAAGAGTTTGGCGTTGAAGATAATACTATGAGGCAAACACATATTTGAGAAATTAAAAGTACCCATTACGAGAACATGTAAAATCCGCCACCAGATGTTTTAACTATCAAAAGCCAGTGCTTGCGTATTGTCCTTGAGAGTTGAGAGTAAGTGGTCTAACAGACGAACATAGTAAAAAGCATTGACTTAGCTTAACAAAAGCCTATTCACACTTGCCTTGAAGACACTCTTATTGTAATCGAATGGAATGACAGAAGCTGGCTAATTAATCTAATTCTTGCTACACGATTTCCACTATTAGGCACCATGGCGTGCTAATCCTATGCTAATCCCTGTTCCAAAACCCACCAAAAAAAATTAGAGAAGATCTGAGCGTAGCTGCAGGTCGTTTGTTCACTCGTTAATTTAAAATGTTATGTGAATTAGTTGGCCACCTCAATCCATGGCCACCTCTATCTAGATTCTATCTATATAAGGTCGATTTAGTGTCTGTAGACACAGTTAATACTTGTCTTTAATTAGATGTAATTTATGGTTATTTATATATAATATATATTACGAGTTGATGATGTCTGTACTTAAAACTATGAATCGAACTGCATGATCAATTAAAATTTATTAAAACCACAAAATATCAGTTTTTTTTATTGATTAAAGGTGACAAACGAGCACCTGATGGTGAGTGAAAATTTATATACTTTGTCAACTGTGAGGACTAACTGGTATGTCTCGTTTCTAATGAAAAGAGTCTTTATTCTTACGAAATACTGGTCTTTATGATTACGAAATACTGGTATTCTGTGATTACATGATCCTTTCTCAGTCAAGACGGCCTATTCGAGCTACAACCATAATATAGCTGCAGCGTAGCTCTACCACGTGAGATATAAATATCTTATCGTATATGTGTAGTCTGTAATTCGCTTAACGTAATTGTTCGCCAACAGTTATGTGTGCTAGATTAAAGAATTTTAATTTCTACTTCATAAAATAACGTGAGAAAGCGTTTGACAATAACGTTTTAAATTTCAATTGGTTTTTTTTTACCAAAATATTAGAAGTTTATTTTTTGCTTTCGTAATAAATAACTTTTGAGACAAATGTAAAAGTTCTGATCAAACAACAGCTGTGCGGGTGTGCGGATTCATTTGCCAGATATAACACTATTTTCACACTCAGAAATGCTTTAGTTGTTTTTCTGTGGTCCAGAACTAAAACTAAAACCTTACTTACTCTGAGACTCAAATATTTTCGAGTCGTCGAACACAATAAATGAAAACTGTGTTTCTCTGTGTTACTAAGTTTTCGGGACAAATTATGACTCCCGGCCAGAAACAGATTAAGGAGATTGCTTTTATTCTAAACAAAGCAAAAAACGTTCATTATGTGCCTAGCCTTAAATATACTCAGTAAGAAGACAGTCCCACTAATATTCTTAATTTTTCCCTTTCCTATATCTAAATATACAACATGTTTTTGTTTCAGCCTTCTTGGCAGGGACACAGTCTACCACCTACCGGAAATATGCTTCCACTGAGCGAGAGTCCTATTTTGGAGTTAACTGAACAAATGGAATCCATTTAAAAATGAAGACCACATACTATATAATACAAGCGCGCTTTTTATATACAAAATCAACATCACAGCTTCTATCTATTCATTCACTCATTTATTAAGCCCGTCAAAAGTCTAGTACTGAACGTAGTAGTTGCCTCAAGGGGAGGTGCCTCGCTTGGGAGGTGGGATGGCAATCTCAATTTTGTACTATTATTGTTTTCTTATTAGAAAGATGCTGTTGCCCATTTCCTGTTTAAGTTTCCTTCTGTCGCAATTTACGACACTCATGGGATAATATGGGGCAATGGATACTCTTACGTCGCCTTTACCCGGCGTATAGCATCAATAATATATGTGTACTCTACCTGAATTATTATTCTTTAACTACGAATAGATTTTACTACTTACTTAATTTAAAAATATGTAAAGCTTAATAAAAAACGAAATCGAAGTCAAAATTTTGATAAAACAAAGTTGCTATTGAGTTGTTAAAAATCAAATAGTGACGATAAACAATAAGACAATATCAATATAGATTTAATTGTTAAAAAAATAACACAATTTGTCTATTTATTTAGTTGACACATATAGATAGACATTTGGAATTTTTCTTTAAAAACGTTGTCCAAGATGGGACCATTTTTAAAATTATTCACCCATAAAATTGGTAATTTATTTTTTATTTTTAACGACATTGACTTGAGTTTTAGTGTTCATTTTTAAAAATTAAAAACTTGCGGACAGATATTTAAATCCGTTTGTATATTAATGCACTTCGTTTTTTTTTTCACTTTTAATAAGTAAAACGAGTACGAATTATATATTTCTTTCGACATACAATATTTCCAGTGTCTATCTTTGTTGAAATTATATTTCTTGCATAAATATACTACCTCTTAAGATTAGAAAATAAGACTGAATTCAGTGTCAATTCAGGTCAGTTGTAACCGGTCGTAATTATGTATAAATTACAATGACATTACGTTATCTTATCATTACTAAACTTATCATTTATGTGCATTAAGACGACACATCGAAAATGTGGTTCCAGGCTATCGCCGTACTGATCATAGTGAAAACATAATTTCTATAAAAACTTGAAAAAACGCCGTCATAAGGTCTAAAATTGCGTAGCGCCCGCGACGAATAAAACCGCTTAGAAATTGTCAGAATTTAAAATATTTTTTAAAAATTTGTTTAAGTAATCAAAATAATGAGCAAGTAAATTATGAATATTGATGTTACGAATAAATTTGAGTGTAATTTCAACTATAGTGATTTTTAGAGGTATTTTCGCAAATAATTATGATCGAGTCAAAATTATACAATCGTGTTTTTGAACAATCAAATTCCAGATAAAGGCATGAATTTACCTATATAAAAATTCCAGTTTCGTTAGTGGTGTCCTAGTCATATACTATTCGATGAAAGGAGGTGCATTTTTTCGCGGTGTCGCCTTAAGGATGATTTTTATGTTTATTTATTTAAAGCTATAGCATAGCATAATATTAACATTTATATATTAATAATTAATTTTCGAAAAAAGAACGCTTGAGAAATCCTACATAGTAGTAGACATATCAAATTTTGATTAGATTTAGGTGTGTTCATTTTAGATGACTATGCTTTACTAAGAAATTTTAAGTCGTATAAAAATATGTTGGCATTACACTAAGAAATTCATGATAAACACAATAATTGTGATCCTAATCAATTTACAAATAAGAGGAACGAAATACGTAAAAGCAATTTTTCGAATTTTTTTATAGTACTTATAGGATGATAAAAGAGCACACAGTCCACCTGATGGTAAGTGGATGCTGTGGCCCGTAGACATCTACATTTATCCTCAATAAAGAATCAAAATGCAGGTGCGTTGTCACCCCTGAGGACTAAGATGGAATGCACCGTTTCCAATAAAAAGGTTCTCCGGTTCTATACATTCAACATACGAAACACAGCAGCATTAAGCCGCTATTTCACGCTGGCATTCTGTGAGAGCGTGGTCCCACCCGTCGGGCCGACGCGTTTATGCTACCAATAAACCATAACATAACTGCAGCATGACTCTACCATTACTAAATATATTAAATGAATGCAATTTAATCCATGAATAAAAAAATGAAAAATTGAATTAAAGGTGCATTTTTATTATTTGGCGTAGCATGCCTAATTGTTTTTGATGTTGTTGTTGATAACGGTTAGTTCTAAGAATAACATAATATTGTTTTCTCCATCTGTCGTCAGGCACAATTATTTTTGTAATTTAGATTAATTCAGCATTATTTATGTTATTTGGATAAACACTTCACGTAAAATGAATGGAGTTTGATCAAGTGACAACAATCGCAAGTTTAATAATTATTAATTGAAGGTTCAAAACGGGATTTTTTACAGTTTATTTTCCACCGCTTACGCACATTGAAATGTGCCTGTTTAATTTTAAGTAGGATGACATAATTTAAAAAAAAAACTCATAATTTTAAATTTAGAATTTTAAAAAATTCAATATTTTAAATTTAAAAATGGTCATAATTTATTTTCAATATCAAATTTAAGTTTATTGAATGTGCGGTTTCATTAATTGAGAAATTATTACGCTCTGTTTACAACACGTAAATATAGCATTAGACTGTTAATGTATAGGTACATATATTATACACAATCGAGAATCTTAACTGAATAAATAACATAAACTTTATCTTTTTAATGCACGATTATAAAGTTTTATAGGATTTATCATCTAACTCAGTGTCGGCAAACGGCATGTTCCCATCACGGACGTAATTTTTTTTAAAAGGTAGTTGGTACACAATACTGCAATATAAAGCAATGTAGTGTAGTGCACTTACCTTGCGGTATGATGTACTTACCTTAGAATAAGTACCTACTTATTCGTACGTTGTACAAATTATCTCATTGTTTTTACGTCTTTGGTTCGCATTCGCATACGTTATATAATTCAGAAACAATTAAAGCATTATTAATAATTGTCTAATAAGCGGTGAACGAAGCTTTATCAAATTGTAACAATAACTTACATACGTAAGAAATAAATAATACATTATAAAGTAGATTTCAACAAAATAATGTAGGCGATGTAGAATAGTTGTTTGGAGGCTTTTACACGATTAGAAATATTGCCAGTGTATTATATTCCGTGATAATGAAGTTAGGATTATGTTAAACAAATTTAATTTTAAGTAATTTTAAATAAGTAGGCAGTTTTATATTTAATTCGGGACAAAGTTGATGTAGGGCTATGTCACATAGAGTAATAGAAGTTAAGCTCGGAGTGGACTACGGTCATATTAAAAAAACGTATTTATAAGATAAATACAAGGTAAAATTGAAAGAAGGTTATTTTATTTGCTTTAATTATAAATCAAATAAAATAACCTTTCAATTTAACCTTAAATTTCGTTTAAGAACGTGTGCAGACAGTAGACACATCTACAGTTTTCGCTATTTCTATTATCATTTATCACAAAAAATTTAAAGATGAATAAAATCTCAGATTACACTTCCGAGAGGTTATTCTTACCAAAAGAGCTAAGAGTGAAAGTCAAAGTGAAAATATTTACATTTTCGGGAGCCCGTTATTTCATAATAGATAATTATTAACTGTTTGTTATACTATATTTAATTTATTTTGCATTCCAATTATATAAAAAATATTTTTCAAGAGGATGGCATGAGAGATCCAGCGGTCATTAGAGATAAAGGGAAAGGCCCTATTTATAAATAGGGCCTTTCCCTTTATCTCTAATGACCGCATCCTATAGGATGGTGTACAAATCAATAAGAAGGTTTCCAATAAGAAGGCGTGAGCCCACAAAATGCTTGGAATATCAAAACATATGCAACACAAAAGCGTGAGTTTAGCTGTTAAAGGAACCAATAAATACATTCCAAATCGCTGGCGTTCAAAACGAGATTTTGAGCAAAATGAGTGTCTATGGTAACATCAGTATGTCCCATAAAATACTATATTGTGTTTCTATTATAATATTCTATGGTATGTACCACGGTAATATTAAAACTAATGCAAGAAAAAACTTTTCCGTTATTTATTTAAGAGCGATATCAACATAAAATTAATCTTTTGTCTTTATCTGCACCGAGCTTAACTTAAAATAGTTTTTTTTACAAATTTTCGGTTGTGATGTTATACATGACCGATTGTTACACAGTGTATAGGACTGTATAATTAAAATATCTCACTAAAAATTGTTTAATTTTACTTATTATTATTACGCACGCTTAATTCACGTATTTTTTATTTATAAATGTAATGGTATTTTATAATCCAATGTTCACCCCGTTCCAGACTCTGAATTTAATGAAAAACATTAGAAGTATTAAAAACTGATGACAATACAATAATGTCATGACTATGATTATCTCACTAGGATCATCACAACTGATGATTAATGCATGATGTTAAAGATTTTTTAAACTTTTTGTTATTGTAGTTTATGGGCCTTCGATCAATTTTTTTTTATAGGATAAGGTGACAAACGAGCACACAGTCCACCTGATGGTAAGTAGTTGCTGCGGCCCATAGACATTCTACATATATCCTCGATTACGAATCAAAATGCAGATGCGTTGTCACCCGTGAAGACTAAGATGGAATGCCTCCAGTAAAAAGGGTCTCCCGTCTCTACACTTACCATACGAAACACAGCAGCGTTAAACTTTCACGCTGGTATTTTCTGTGAGAGCGTGGTCCTTCCCCGGTCGAGCCAACTACAACCGTGCTACAACTATACTACTAATATAACTGCAGCATGGCTCTACCACGTATAGAAAAAAAAGAAAAAAAAATTCTTTGTTGTCAATACAAAATAAGCAAAATTTTTAAATTTTGAAATGGTGCAATATGCAGTTTTTGGCTTTGAAAGCCATTCCGCTTTACCGTTCCGAACGTTACTTACTTAAGAATAAAAAAGAGGGTGTAGTCTATCCAATCACAAATTCACTGCTGAACATCGGTTTCCCCGTAGATTGCCACAAACCATTCA